ATTTCCGATGTTCTGGCACAGTGGTTCTTAACGTGGGCAATAATGCCCCCCAGGGGGCGATTTCATTTTTCAGGGGGGCAGTAGAACGAAAAGGGGCGGCGTGGGGGTGATAGAACAAAAGGGGGGCAGTAGGGGGCGCTGGAGCGGGCCAAACCTGTGAAGGCGACTGCAGCCACAGTGCTGGCAGTAGATACGGTGTTGCTGCTGCCGCCAGATGATCCAGCTCTTTCTACCTGCCACGTCTCGCCTCTCTCCTTTAGGGGAGCACTGAGAGCGGATCGAGCGGAAGGAAAGGGTCCCTTGGGTCCTCATCCTCACCCCGTGAAGCGCTGCCGTGCACCCGGGTGGGGAGGGAGACTAGGTAGGTAGGTAGGGAGGTAGGTAGGTAGGTAGGGAGGTAGGTAGGTAGGATATCATCACCTCCGGGAGGGGGGCGATGATAACTTCCTCAATGGCTCAAGGGGGGGTTTCTTTCAAAAAGTTTAAGAACCACTGTTCTGGCACATCTTTCTGAAGTAATACCCGTCCCGACCACAAGATGGCACTCTTAGAAAAGACTTCAGCTCTTTTTATTTACACAGTGGCGCTGCCGAAAATAAATGCTATTTTTTAAAAAACCGAAAGAAAAGGAAACAAAATGAAGAATGACTCCCATGTTTTTCCTACGTGTCATGCCGTTGGGATGGCACAGCGTTTCCTTCGTGCCCCGGGCAGGCTCCTGATCTGTAGCACGGGAGGAGCGGCGGGGACTGCTGCGCCTGCTCCAGGAAGGCAAAGTTACCAACTCAGCAGAACACGAGTCGGGGGTTTGATGTGAACGCTTTTGCCAGCCCCGAGTGCCGCCGCCACCGCAGGCTCCGGCCTTGACCACTTCAGCCAGCACCCGCCCGCCGCGGATCCCCAAGCCCTAAACAATGAGCAGATTGTACGAGACCAAACCGGCTCCGGCTTTCTTGCTGCAAAACTCCCTGGACTCGCCGCCGCTCCGGATGTGCCAAATATAAACCACGGAGGAAAGCAAACAACGAGGGAGCCCAGAAATCGGGTTAGGGCCGAGTTAATGGAGCTGGGGCAAGAAGAGGGCCGTCCAGAAGGGCAAACGACACGTGTCGGATCGAACAGCTCCGTCACAAACACTGATATGTGCGCGCTCGCACGCGTGGATGTATGTGTGCGCGCACTAAATTTAGAGGACCCAACCCAAATCAATTTTTTAAAATCTCTCATCATGGCACAGAAAGCCGGAGATGGAGTCCCGAAGGCAGCATGTGTCGTTCTGCCAACTCCTGCGACATTGCTGGAACCAGTTGTATTGGCTCTTGCCTTTCCATTGGACCCTTTCAGCAATGTGGAGAGGGGGGATCTGCTGCTTGGGTAATAGCCTATTCTCCATATTACCTTACCCGGGCTTCATGCTCTGGAGAGGACACTGCTCAATTTAGAGCATGTTACCATAGTCTCTCGAGACTGAAGGATGCCTATGATGATGATGGCACAGAAAGCCCATCCAGTGCACTTGGGAGATCAAGTTCTCCTAATGGACTACAGGTGCCTCGGGGCCAGATTTATAGGTTCTGGTTCTGAAAACGACTTGCGGCTGGAGGCCATGTACGGCTTACCAAAGGGTCATCATTAATGACACATTTATCGTCATCATTATCATCATCATCATTATGTGCAACGACTTCACCCAGAGAAGTCAGCTAGCACATTTATCGTCATCATTATCATCATCATTAAGTGCAACCATTTCACCCAGAGAAGTCAGCTATCCACCAAACATTTGGCTTGTTTTCCTTTTACTCTAGAATCAAGCGAGCAAAGGGGATCCTCTAATCCAGTGGGGGGTCTCCAGATGTTCTTGGGCTAAAACTCCCAAAAGTCTTCACCACTAGCTGTGCCGGCCAGGATTTCTGGGAGTTGAAGTCCAAGAACATCTGGCGACCCAAGCTTGGGAACAACTGATCCAGATCCCATGGGGTTGAGGCAGCTAAACAGAAATGCCAGGTGCGTACCTAAAATTAGTGGGCAAAAGAATCTCCTGGCACCTTAAAGAAAACACATTGATTATGGCTCTAAGGTGCCAGGAGACTCTGGGAGGCACCGAACATGCAATGTGGCTGATGGGAGCTGTAGTCCAGCATCTGGAGCCCGCCGAGTGTATGTAAAACTGGGCCAGACAGAAATTGTAGAGGTAAAGAATTTGCTCCTGAGTCAATAGATCTATCTTCCACTGTTTTCCTTTCTTAGATCTATCCTATTATTTCAATCTTTCTTCTGTAGGCTGTTAAAAATATACCGCATACTGACAGGTAGGGCATTAGGGGTTCCCACGACCACTTATCTGCCCACCACCCTCAGTCAATTTTTCCTACAAAACGTGGATTCCTAACAAGCACTTTTCCAGATGGACTTTCCAGTAAATTTATACACCGCTTGCCACCGAGTAAAACCTCCGCCAGTGGGGATTTTGGTAGGGGAGGCTTCAGCTTGGAGGGGCTGATCTATAAGGATTTCGCCGCCCCCGCGCCCCCCCCCGCTTTGAAAAAAGAGATTCTTCTAATTATTAACGATTAGGCATTTGCTTGATGTGATTTTATAAGCGCCGCGACTGTTTCCAAAGCAAACAAGGCGCTGCTGGCCGGCGTGCGCTGGGCGGAGAGAAGCTAAGAGCTGAGTAACCCACCCGGCTACGCGATCTTCAGAGAGCAAACAGTCTAAATCTGGAGGGTAAACAACTTGGAGGAGAAGGAGGTGTGGGGTGGGAATCGACAGCTCCAGGGTCCAGGCCTCTGGAAAACAGCCTCGAATTTCTTTGCTTGAGGTCTAACAAAAACATCGCCGTTTCTCCCTTCTGCTCCCCCGTCTCCGCCCCCGCCCATCTCTCCTACAAGCAGTTGTAAAAGTAAATTCGGAGTTCGTGATTTCTGGGCAGGCCATAGGTGACCCCCCCCACACACACACACGTCTTACAGGACTTTCTAATGTAATACTTCCCATCATATTCCACCCCCTTCGCCCTTTAATGACCTTCTCGGTTTCAGCGAAGCCTCCCTACCTAAGCCTACTGTGTGGCCGAGAAGGACCCACGCAACCGGATTCTTTGCGTTGTCACACAACGGAGTAAGGGCAACCCGGGGCTCTTCCTGCCAAGGAAGGTCGCCGCCGCTGCCTCGCACAGTCATACTAACAGAGGGCTGCGACTGATCCGGGAATGAAGGGAGAGGTCTCCTTCAGGCCCCGCTGGCTTTTGATACTGATGATGATGGGTTTTGTAGTGCCGGAGGACTGGAGGGTGCCAGGCTGAAGCGCCCTGCTGAAAAACGCAGCGCCCTGCTGGGAAATCCAGTAATCCAGATGGTTGAAAACCCGCGAAGACTGACAGAATTTTATGGGGCCAAGCCTATTCGGAGAGAGGGATTCAAAGCGCTCTTTTGCCTAGTCTTTCCCTGTCCCCAAGCCCCTTTGCCTGCTCGCGCGCGCACACACACGCACACAGGCCCTGGCAATCTTACATACATCAAGAATTCTGCAACACGTAGGGTTGCAGAATTCTGCTGGACATTTGTTTTGCTGCAGTCGGGGAGCGATTCCATGTTGCAAGTTTGGTTCAGTGAGCCAAGGCTGACGCTATACCATTTTTGGACTACATCTCCCACAATTCCCACAGGGCCGTGCTGGCTGTGGCAGATTCGGGGAGTTCTAGTCTGGAAATATAACTTGTCCTGGTTTTGACTTTGAGGCAATATGGAGATGCTTTGTAGACAGAAGACTTCGGTCATCTTCCCTCCACGTCCTCATCTCTCGCCCAATGAGCTAAATACAGCCCTCAGGCTGTTACATCGGATAATTTTTGAGAACGCGACCAAACGTTCCCAATCATAGCAAAGCCTTCTGAGGTTAATATATCGGGGGAACGGGATCCACCATCATAACTCGTACAACTAGTTCTGATGCGTGTTTTACTCAGAAAGCGATCCTGCAGAAGTACATGGGGCTTAGTTCCAAGTCAATTCGAGGCAGGCAGGATGTCCACGTCGTGTCCTAAGGCAGAGGCTGATGCTCAGTCGTGCTCCGTTCAGAATTCAACCTCGGCCTAGCTTTTTATTTTATTCCCAAGTCGTTTCGTCCCACGTTTGGAAAGATTATTTCTGAATAAGTCGTTGAAATTCAGAGTAATTCATTCTAAAGAGTCTGGTGAAACTCAAAGCACTTTATTTATTATCGCATTAAAACTAATAATTCTCTGGTGAGCCTTTTCAGCCGGAAGAAATAATTAATTTAGTTCTTCTCGCCATTATCCCCGTTTTGCAGATGTGAAAACTGAGGAGAGGCACCAGGGCCTTGCGGTCGATGACGAGAAACGCTATGAATAAAGGCTCGTTTCTCTTCATATCCTGTTATTCGCAACTTCTGAAAGACATCGTCTTTCAAGACATCGGCTTGCAACGAGGACGGAAAGTCCTCCAACAAAGGGAATTGTAAATTCTGATCTTGCCCTTATCTCTCGCGTTAGATCTCCCTCTTGATCGGAAAACACGAAAACCAAGCGTCCACACGTTGCTGGAGAACCCTTTCGCCCCTAAAGCGTGATTTTATTTTATTTTACTTTTTTAATTATTTTATTAATCGCGGTCGGTCTATTGAGCCAACCTGCCTAGTCCTCTTTTCACAAACGTCGTCTAGAATAGGGAAAAAAACCCGAGATAATGATGCTATTTGCATTCCTCCTCCTCCTCCTCTTCTTCCTTTTTTTATAAAGGGAGCGTGAATGGAACTTTTTTTAAAAAAAAGGGGAGAGGAAGGAAAAAAGGAAGAAAAGACGGCAAGAAAAGCAGGGACCTTTGTTGAGCTAAACTAGTTGGACGAGTTAGGGTGTCGCTGCTCTTGATTGCTCTGGCCAATGGAACCCGATCCACCCCGCTGTGCGTAAGAGCGCAATTATGGATTTAACCAAGCCTCTACGCTCCCTGCAAGCAGTCTGCCAGAGTTATAACCAGTCCGAGAGAGCTCCCAGCCGTCGCCGCCTCCTCCCCTCCCTCCCTCCTCTCTTCTCCTCGCCTCCTTCCCTCCCACCCCGCCATGGCTCCCTAGAAGAGCCAGCCGCCCGCCCGCCCGCCAGAGATGACCGGGGTGTTTGACCGAAGGGTCCCGGCTATCCGATCCAGCGAGTTCCAGGCTCCCTTTCAGACCAGCGCGGCCGCCGCCATGCACCACCCGCCCCAGGAGTCGCCCACCCTGCCCGAGTCTTCGGCCACGGATCCTGACTATTACAGCTCGCCCGGGGGAGCTCCGCACGGCTACTGCTCGCCTTCCTCGGCTTCTTACGGCAAAGCGCTCCATCCGTACCAGTACCAGTACCAGGGCATGAACGGCACGGCCGCCGGCTACCCGGCCAAAGCCTACGCAGACTACAGCTACTCCAGCCCTTACCACCAGTACGGCGGCGGGGCTTACAGCCGGGCGCAGAGCGCGGCCAGCCAGCCAGGTGAGCAGCGACCCGATCGGGAAGGGATCGGGCTGGGCCGACCGGAGGACTGGGCGTCGGGGGGGGGCAGGGGGCGGCGGCGGAGAGAGAGAGACCCGCAGCCCGAATCACCGTCTGCAAGGCGCAAAGGGGGACGCGTGTCTTGGGATCCGCCTGCCTAAATCCGGGACTCGCCCGATCCTCGCGATCTGGAATCGCCGCGGATCGTTCCGGCGAAGACGCGGTTCTGAGTCCGGAGCGCTTCAAACGCCTCCCCCCCCCCATTTTCTCCGGAATTTGGGGGAGTGAAGAAGGGGCAGCCCACAGCGTAGCAAAGCTGGGTTCTCTCCGCCTTGGGAGAGACGGAGCGGGAGGGCCGGGATGGGGGAAAATAATAAATAGCCTTGGATCGGGATTCTTCCTCGTCTCCGGCTCCGGATTAGAAGATAATAATTTAGGACAATAGATAAAACGGGGTGGGGGCATTTATAGGGGGTGTACCCTGGTACTTTGTGCCGCAACAGTGAAATTCCGCAATAAGGGAGGGAGGGGGTTGGGAGGCTTTTTACCAGCCAGGTTTCCACCAGAGAAAGAAACAGTCAATCTTGCAGAGACTGGAAAATGTGGCAGGATTTTTCTAAATCGCTGCGGGCGACAACAGGCCGAACTGGGGGTGGGGAGCACGAGGAAGGGGGGGGAGGATATGATTTAATCTCCTGCCTTCTCTCGTACTTCCCCGCCCCCACCCTCAAAACACGTCGCCTGAAGAACCGCTCTAATATTAACTTCCAAATTCGGCTGAGCGATTAATCCCACACACGGAGAAGCGCGGTTAAGTAGTTTCCTTGCGGTTCCCAACTGTGGAAAACTCAGCGCTATACTGGAAGCAGCTCGGTCTTCCTCTGCCTGCGGGCGCGCGCAGGGAAACACACACACACACACACACACACACACACACACACACACACACACACACACACACACACACACACACACACC